CAGTACAACAGAGCCATCTCCAGCCCTAATGATGTGAAACTGGGAAAAGATGCAAATAAACCATCAGGACTAAATTATTGCTTAATATAAATAGTCAGCTATTTCTGTGTGCCTAAACCAAGGAACTAGAGTCTTTGTTGTAAATGAAAGAAAATATTTTTTCAGGGCATTTTCTGCATGTATAAAGATGCTGCTCTCTGTCCTTCTCTCCTGCCTCTCCCCCTCCCTTCCTCATACTCATGTGCACACACACAGTCCAATACTAGTTATGCAGTTCCCAGAAATGCTTCTTAATAAGTACAATCATTTGTTTTGTGGTCTGTGCAATCATGATAGATGTATGAACCTCTTTCTTATAAAACTAATTTTCTCTGGACAAACTCACAATTCCAAGATCCATGCTGGCAAGAGACAATTTCTGAGGTCCACAGCAGGTAACATTAAAACATCTCTGTGATTCCATCTTCCCTCCTCTGCAGCTAGGAGCTGAAGAGTGACTGTACAAATATTTTCACAAGAAAAATCCTTTGGGTCAACGTCCATATATAAGATGAAGCTTCCTTTTTTAAAAAAAAATATATATTTTTTTCTTTTTCTTTATTTTTCCTCATTTATTCTGGTTCTTCTTTAATTCCTACTTAAAAATTAATTCCCAAATTCTTCTTTAAAAGGTATCGAACAATTATTTCTTTTCCAGTGACTTATAGTCTGATGGTGGATATTTGCTACCTCAGTTATAGGCAGCCTGATATTGTTGCCTATGTTTCCAAATCCTCCACAGGTTTAATCTCTCTTTGGTTATCGTTCATCTTACAACAAATAAATCCAATAGAGACTAACTGTTTTCCCAGCAAGTGAGCTGCTTGTAATTGGAAATGGCCCTGAAGCAGAATCCTGATCAAGACATATGAGCTTCGGAGAGATCTGGGTGTGAATTTTATCTGATTTAGCAGCTTAGTCCTATTCTTGTCTGCAATGTAATCCTTCACAAGACTTCACACATACAAAATTGCAAGGAAGAGCTGCACCTCTTATAAAAATCCTCTGTCCCTAATATAGTCACCTGTAACTAAAGCAGGTATGTACTTAGATTATATTAAGATAGCTTCATAAAAATACCATATAAAGGAAAAGTTACCAGAGGTTATAGATGGTGGGTGGAAGAGAGCAGTGAGTCACACTCACCAGGAGTAGAAGTGCTGAGCCTCTGACCAGCGTTACTAACATCTCTGTGGAAACAGCTTTTCTGAAACAAGTCGACTGAGTACCCAAATGGCAAGACCAATACTCATTACTGCAGTCTTAAAAAAAAATAATAAAAAAGTTCCAAAGTTTTAAAGTATTTAACTGAAGAGCTGTCAGTAGAAATCTGTAAGGTCTTTAATCAGCCCAAGGAAGAAATGAGAATAAAAAAAAAGGTATTTTTAATATGGAATATCACAAGCAGCAATCTTCCAAGGACAATGAGAATCAACGATTTGGAAATCATTCTATGCAATTAATGGGTGGATGTTGTCCATTAAGATAAAAAGATTTCAAAGAATACTGGAAAAAAAACCTCAGAATATGTCAGTCTCTTCCTCCTAGGTAAGAAACATATTATTTATTATGTATCCACTGGAAAAATCTTCACTTAGCAGCAAGGCAGTTCAGACCAACAGAAATCATTCAAAGGGGAAAGACAAATTATTTCATTCTCAAAGACACATCAAGAACTGCTTTTTAATACTTTAAATCCTGATCACACACTGCTCAACTTTGAGCACTGAGTAATCTCACTGAAGCCAAAAAGACTATACAGTTTTTTATGTCAAATACATACAAAAGATTTAAAAGAGACTCTTTAAGAAATGTAAAAAAGCAAGACTAATAGCTATAATGCAGGTAGAACTATTTTTTACAAAAGTGCCTTTGAGTTGCATTCAATTTAGTGAAATCTCCATCACCAAAACAAATCCAAGAAAATAAATCTTTCTTATATCAGGGCCAACTTACGTATCTGATTCATGATGACTAACATGGTGTCTTGCCCTGTGAATAGGCTCCTTTCTGCTCATAGGGAGAAAAGGTGGTGAGAATCTTGCCCTTGATAAATTCATACTTTCATAGCATTATGAACAGATGCAGGACAAATTAGTTGGTTCTGAGAGAATTGGTCACAAAACTAAAGGGAAATTCCAATAAAAACCCAGATGTGTGACAGGGAGCGGAGAAGACAAGAAAAAGAATTAGGTTTGGCTTCAACAAAAGCTTTCTTGCCACTTTCCTTTCTCCTTTATTCCCTCCTTTCACACATTATTATCTATTCCACTGGCACCAAAGTAATCATGTGAATTTGGGGAAACGCATTAAGAAAGCAAGGAAAGACATACAGGGTAAAGACTTGACTTAGTCTAACATTCTTCTCATCCTTACAATGTTCACCTGTAAACTCAAAAGTTTCAAAATAATCTAAATGTCATTTCTAAGCCAATAATCTTGTGATTCAGTGGGCTGTAATTTGGAATATATGCTCTTCTACAGCATATTTCAAAACAAAAAGACTCTGTGTCTCACCTCCAAAGTGCAAGATCCCAGAGTAAAGCCAGGTAGGACCGAAGATATCACCACCTTGACATCTCTTTGCAGATTTACTTCCAAAGCAACACCTGGGTTTGACCAAATTTAGGCAGTCCCAGAGCCCTACACGCGCCATGGCAGCCTGGTGACAGCTGACACTTCCACCTCTGTTCCCTCCTGCACAGCCACAGCTAACACTGCTTCTGAACTGAATCATCCAGAGAGACTGTGGATGAAAACTCTGTTTCACGTTCTGAGTTTTGACATACACTTTCCTTGCTTGCCTTTAAACCTCCTACTACACATTTTGCTTGCATACAAAGGATGTGGAGAATGCTGAAAATCTCACCTCAAACACTGAATAGCTGCATATCTAGTAGAATTCCTATACATCAATACAATCATTTATTTCCCAGACAGCTAAAGGATTAGTCACAATAACAGCACATTTTTAAGGCTGAGGGAAGGCATTGTTGCTCTTTTCCATCTGCTCTCACAGCTACACATGGCTTTAAGTAGAAAGAAACACAGTTGGAGAGACCATGCGAGACAGCACGAGAGCGCGCGCAAGAGAGAAGCACTAAAGTTCTTTTATACAGCACTGCCACGACCATTAGAAGCAAAAGGAGCAAAACATGGCCAAAGATCAAGGAGGACTGTGAGGAGAGCAGGAACTCTGCCCATCGATGCTGTGGATTCCTTTGCTCAAATAAGAAAAGAATTTTCTTCCAAAGCACCTCCACTCTATCCAAAACCTCTCCCTTCCTTCACCAAATGAATTGCAAATAATACAAATAACATTCAGCTCCAATCCCCTGCGGATTGTAGAATTATATCCTATTTTAGCTTCTTCAGCCATTAGCACATGGCGAACATTTCATGGTTTGTCCACAAATGTCATCTTGTTTATGAATCATCATCTGGCCACAAAGCCAAGTTAAGGCTGTGTTTGGAACTGAATTCCAACCAGGGCATCTAAGCAAGTAAGAAGGGTAAAACAAAGACACTCCTTTCACATGTAAGAGCAGGTGAAAATGTTTCTCCATCCTACTAAGCAGAACCATGAGCACACAAGTTGCTAGGCTGAATCTGTATTCAAATAAAAATGACATTTAAGCATACCTATTTTCTGCGCTAGCAGATCCCTAACTTACCTCAGAAGGCTTCCTTTAAGAGAAAAGGCCATTTTTGTCACATACGACTATGCTTAACCCCCTAAATCGCTAGCCAAGGAGTGCTCCATCTGCACCAACCTTAAGCAGAATATGGAAGAAAAGCAGTTGCCTTTCTCCTTCTAGTGACCTGATCAAAGTGGGCTAGTTTCAAATCAAAGTTTGGGTCCTTTCAAAGATGCATGACCTACATGGCACATCCTCAGGGAGTGTGGGATTTATCCTCTTGAAATTAGAGCTGGGTCTGGTGAGAAGACCACTTAAGATTGAAAGATCTTAAGTGTTACAGCTGCTACATAATTTTGTTACATAATTGTACAGCACACAGCAAAATGGACTTTCAGGAGAGTATTTGAGATACTGCTTGTTAAGCGAAAAGTAGTAAGTTCTTATACAAATATACCCTTTGCTCTCCCTTTTTTTTCTTATACAAATAGACTCTTTGCTCTCCCTTTCTTTTGGTCAAATACAGCACCCTCCCATTCTTTAGAGCAAAACACTTAACAATAGCTGTCAATTCTGGAGACTATAGGAAGACAGAAAACACTGAAAAATAACTGTGCTTGGTGACAAGTACCATCCATTTCCAGAGAGACTAAAACTAGCTTGGAACCAATACTCATTTTAGACTAATTTTGCACGTATGTAACTGCAGTGGCAGTATCTGTGAATTGCACTGAGTTAGAGGTGGAATTGGGCCATAAGACCTTTTTTTAAATGACTAATACTGTTCTTCAGCAACCTGTTCAGGGACTTGTTACTCTGCAAATACACTTCAGTCATGCTAATCAAGATTCAAAAGGGGTTGTCTCAAAGGTACTACTGAACTACTCAGCAAGTGTTCCAAGACACTCTTTGGTAGCAGTACAGCTGCTGCTTTACACTGAAGTATCCATTTTTAAAAAGAATTTACCAGATCCCTCAAAAACTGTTTTGTTTGATTTTCAAAGAGTCAATAAATTTGTCAACCAAAGATTTCAAAGACCCGTTGGTAGAATATTTCAAGTAAGCACAGCATTCATACGCTCCAAAACGGAGTGCATGACCAATTAGCTGACAGTTGTAGCAACATACTGTATCTGTGAATTACATTGCTCACAGGAACAACTGTGCTCAGGAATGTACAATGGAAGTAGGAGATAGGTTCAAGATGTTTGGGAACAGGCTGAATTACATACAGATGTACACAACAGCACGTCCAGGGAAAATGAATTAAAAGCAGGGACATGCATAAGAAAATAGATGAAAAAAATCATATAGTTACCATACCTTGCAGTGACACCTGTTGCTTTCCAAGATAAGAAATCCGGAAGATCAAAGAAGTAGCCTGCCTTCTCCCAGCATGATTCTTGCAAATTCTAACAACAAAAAATTATAAACACAGATATTAGAGGCCAGATATTATGTCTGTTTTTAAAGAAATCAAGAAACCTTCTAGTTATATTAAATAGGCTTTTCTTTTCCAAACCCAATATTCTGATCACTTACTCTGCTCCACTCACTTTGCAGTTATTTACTACTTCAAGAACTCAGTATTTTCCCTACCAGAGACTAACAGTAAAAAGCAAGTTTCCCAGAAATAATTCATGGAAGCAAAAGTTTCATATTAGTAATACGGGCTCAATTCCCAGTCAGCTGCTGAATATCACAGCAGTCTCAGAGTCAACAGACAACTTATTCAAAAAATATTTGCTTGAAAAACACACTACTTTCTCAAATTATCAATTTTATATTTGATACTTTTGAATTTTAAGTAGAGGTAGAAAACAAAGTTTTGTGAGCACTAGAACAAGCAAAGCACCCAAATTTCTATTTTAAGGTCAATTGGCCTAAGTATCTAAGAACGTCTAAGGTTTCAGTGAAGCTTTCCCTATGTTTGGGACCTCCAAGATCTCTCGACTGGATGTATTTACCAGTAAAAACAGGTGTTAAACCTATACTACAACCATATAGGCTTCTGTCAAAGCATGCAGAGGAGATCCTACCAGCAACCAATACAAGCTTAACTCTCTGAACTCTATCTTTCTACAAAATCTGTTTGAAATATGTATGAAAGCAGTATGAATGACAATGATAAAGGGAAGGTAATTTATCTATTCCAGTGTGGCAAAAAGAGTGAGAAACACTATGCTGCAATACAATAATCCCAATGGCCACCTCTGGTCACAGTATATTAAAATAACTAAGGAATACTAAAACCAAATGAAAGTTCTTGCTGCCAGCCACGGGGTTCACAAAACAGGCCTCTACAGAAAGAGAAGATCACTTTAAAAAACTCCACTAATGTTTTAATTACCTGAAACAGTGACGTGTCTGAGCAAAATCTGTTTGAAATATGTATAAAAGCAGTATGAATGACATTGATAAAGGGAAGGTAATTTATCTATTTCAGTGTGGCAAAAAGAGTGAGAATCACTATGCTGCAATACAATAATCCCAATGGCCACCTCTGGTCACAGTATATTAAAATAACTAAGGAATACTAAAACCAAATGAAAGTTCTTGCTGCCAGCCACAGGGTTCACAAAACAGGCCTCTACAGAAAGAGAAGATCACTTTAAAAAACTCCACTAATGTTTTAATTACCTGAAACAGTGACGTGTCTGACTGTGTAAGAGCAGCTGTACTCGAAACCCATGTTCTAGCTGGGGTCTTTGGGGCACAGAGCCCAGTGAGGTGGAAACCAGCAACATCAGAGCTGCATCCAGCAGCTGAGTCAGAGAGCTGGAGAAGGAGTGTATGAGAGGGGAAGCTATAGGGGTCTTCAGCTCAACACAAGAAATTAAGAGGATAATTTATGTCCTTTTTTGTCTTTGAGCTTTCACACTTCACCTTTTTCATCTACCCTCCACAAGTTTAGGCCAAAACTCTTGTACAAGATTCCAAGAGCAGAGGGTTAATTTAGAGAAGTGAAAATCTCAGTAATATAATCAGCATTCTTAACAAGGGGGGAAAAAAAAAAAAAAAAAAAAGAGAGAGACTTTAGCAGGAGGCCAAAATTACAGCAGGAAGACATGAATAGTTCAGCAAAGGTTCTAATACTTTTGTAATTATAGCTTTCTTTGCAAGACTCTGTTTCAAAATAGTCAATAGAAGCATCAATGTCTATCATGGCGATTTCATTAGTTGCATTATGGAAGTTCCTATTTGTTTTCTGGAGTTAAAATTAACTACATTACCAAGAATGTATATGTTGAATTAACTCAAAAGATAATTAAATTTAAGAAACACTATTTGGTCCTACAGCTTATTTCAAATATGATGTGATTTCAACCCAAAATCTTTTAAGTCCCAGAAAAATGCTGAAACATGTGAATTCCAGACACTAAAATGAAAATAGGTAAATATAGAAAGGGTTTTGTTTAATTTTGGACCATCCAAATAATTGATCTTCTTCACATTTAGCTCTTTGAAAGAACTTACTCTGCTCCCATTGATTTGGGCTTGCCTCCCTGGTATATGTGAGCTGCTACTCACATCACCTTTACATGTGAATGCAATGGTGGCTCCGTAGTTTAGTACAAAGAGCACTCAGTCTGATAATTTGACAATATAAAGCATGTTGTATGGATAACATACTTGATAGTCTTCAAGAAGCAACAGAAATAGATTGGCTGTTAATTTAATGTTCATCGGAAAAGACACTGGATTAAGAATAACTGTCTTCTGTCAATAAAGATGTTTATCAAAAAAAACCCTCTCCTTAGGTCCTGTTTCTATTACTTCAGGAATTCCCAAATGCCACATGCTAGCGATACTAAAATATGTTTTTTCATAAACATCCAATGATTCATTCTTTGTCATCTTGATGCTTTGTCATCATTAATTAGTACAGACAAAAAAAAAAAAAAAAAAAAAAAAAAAAAGAAGAAGTATGCCCGGATGCTTTTTCCAAACAAATTTTAAAATCACCATGTTTTCTACACTCACTGAAATTCATTCTAATTTATTTTCACTGACACTCAGAAATCTGCAACCACATTAAAAGCATTGCGGAAGAGGTCCAGGAATGTCCCCAATGCTGTATTCATATCCTGCGACTCACCCTTCAAATGTACTTCCAAACAAGTATATTCAATCCTTCTATTTTCCAGGGGTACTTATGGACTGCACTTCCTTTTTTATTCTTATTTTTTTTGAACTATTACACCTCCAAACTTCTGAGATCCTCACAGATAAACCTATCAACATCCATCCTGAATATGCTGGGAGCAACATGTTTAAGCAATATGAAGTGCAATATCCTTTAATCTTCTGAGACGAGAAGGATAAAGAGAAGGTAGGAGAGGGGATGAACTGGTAACAAATTTCAGCGAAGACTGAAGTCCTCTGTTTATACACTGAAAAAATGCCACAGCAGATGTTCTCACTGTCTGACTTACAAACTTTGACATGAAATTGGAGGACTTGTGTATAAAGATAAATGTGTATTTAAGCTCCCTTGCCTGTTTATTTCTTGGCAAGTCGAAAGATTATCATGAATTCATACTGCACGGTTCTATAGTGTTATGTATATTTGCTCACTTTTAGATTGGACTGAAATACACACAAACACACCCATAAATGCACAGAATTGCATGAGAGAATTTTCATGTGAGTATCCAGGAGGGTTTTTTGGAGACACCTAGAGGAACATTCCTCTTGGAAATGCTGAAAGGCACTTTCACACTAATACTTTACTGTTTTTTTAAGCTAATCTGAGTTAATTTGTTTTTATGAAAACTTTTATTTGTACTCTTACTGCATATATGATCTCATTTAAAGTTTGTGCAAATGCTTTTTTTTTTTCCCCTCACTGGTAGTAAAATATGTACACACAACACAGAACTCCTCACTTGGTTATTGATAATTCAGAGTAAATATGAATCAAATTATCTTAAATCTTATAAAAAGCCTTTGCATCAGTGCCCTCTTGGCTATGTTATTAACTAAAGATGGGCTAGAAGCAAAACATCTGATTTAGCCCATGGTATCAGTCTGAATTTCAGGGCTACTTACCAGCCCAAACCCATAAACTCAAAAATTACCCCTAAATGAGTGTTTCAGTTCCACGTCAGGGCAAAACCCAAGTCATCTGAAAACCAGAGATAGAGCCTCACCCACAGAACAGTTTGCTTAGTCTAATTCAAGCAAATTTTTAATCTCAATCTCCCAGGCAATCCCTAATAGCAGGTTATACGGTGCATCAGTCTCTCTAAATTGCAGAAAGCAATTAAATATGCACTCTGTCAAAGCAAGACAAAACAACTGCAGGCTAGCAAGTCACATCCTCACGGGGATGTAAGAAACTGATGTCCTGGATTACAACAAAACAAGAACCTGAACTTGGATCTCACCCTTCAGATGAGAGGACAAACCATGTGCTGTGGTTACACGGATGGTCCCTCAGGCAGGCTCTGAATCCTACCCTTGCCAGAGCCAAAGCTACAGACTGATAATTTTTGCATCTACAAGTTGCATACACAATAGTTGGTTAAAAAATAACTAACTAAATTATCAGATTCATCCTGAGGCTGCAACTGTGCCTTTTGGAAGGGTGGGGAGTGGAAACAGCCTGGGAAGTGTTGTGTGAGGATACTGCTGGCGGTGAAAAAACCTGTCTTGCTGCAACACACTCTCTCTAGCTCCAAGGCACCATCTCAAACGTCTGCAGGTACTTTGAAATCCCAGGCTCCAGAAGTGCCTTTCGGGTAGCACCACGAGTCAGGTAAGAGTTGGAGTCCAAGTCAGGCAGAGGGACAGACAGACAGAAAGGTTGGACCAGCAGGAGCTCTGACAAGGCAAGACCTGTGTATGTGCTTGTAAACCCACCACACTAATTGAGCGGAGAGAGATGGCTGGAAGGTAGAGCAAGTAGGACATATGTGGAGAAATGGAGGTGTTTCAGTCCTTCCAGCTGCTAATCCTATTTTTGAAAGGCTATTTCAACTTGATTAGCAACTGCAATTGAAAGCTGAAGTCAGCAGCTTAAAGTACAACCTACAAACACATGTCAACAAAAAGGTATTAGAGAATTCATAGCCATACCTAATCCAGAGTGCAATTCTGAACCCAGTAGCTCTGAACTTAGCCCATTTTTGCCCAGCAGGACTTGATTTTTTTTTTCTTTTTAAGGGCAAAATCCAACCAGCCATGTTCAACAAAACAGTTGTGAAGACAGCAAGTGAGAAGACATGCACGAACAAAGAAGTGACTGCCAAGCTAACGCCAGCACAGCAACTATTCTTGCCCCTCCCTAGCCAGGGAAAGAGCTTTTTAATAATTTCTGAAAATGATCCCGTTGGATGGTAGCTGCAAGCCAAAGGTTGACGGAAGGAAGGAAGAACAAGGATGTATAAAAAAGGGCAGCTGTAACTGC